GGCCAATAATGTATCATTTTCAAGGCAAGATTTAGTACACAGCTAGCTGATTAAATATCCTACCCTTAATGATACGGGATACTAAATAAGTCTCATTAGCTACTAAGGGCGATTTATTTTAATCTTTAAACTTTTCACAATAGGCTGACTTCTCAACACCTATCTGAAGAGTTCCTGTCATTTCCAACCAAAAAATTCGGCTTTCCTACTTGGAAAGCCAGAAAGAAGTTTTCATAATGAAATACAGTCACAGGATCATGTTATACAAATGTGGATTTGGGAGCAGTGATACTAGAGTAATTGTAACACTAAAGTTCACTTTGGCTTTCAAGCATCAAGACATCAGAGAGAATGTGACCTATTCTACTGCATTTGTTCACATGGATAACAAACCCAGTTAGGACAATGCAGCCAGGGAGTATGAAGAGAACTATTATAGGGCAAAGGCCATACCTATTCATCACAGTTACTCCTATTAAGGTCACCCAGGAATGACCATTTAACCAACAACTCCGTTCTTGATATTAAAAATCAATAGTAATATCAACATCCCTTCTTCCTAAACAATATTTTACAGAATCCATATTCTACAACAACATACTACTAAGTATATTCAGTGCAAGAAAAAAAAGACAATGTTTCATGTTTTGAGAAATCCTGCTTTAAACAGGGTTAAACCGTTTCATTGTTTTTTACTACAGGACTTCCCAGAGCCTTTAATAAGCTCATATGCACTGTGTCCCTGTGATTTGTTTTTAGTATAGAGCATTTCCAGGTTTATCAGACTACAGACTCTTTTTTGGAGAGCACCAATCCACATTTCATGCAATACGGGTGAGTGTCACTAGTTGGGAAATCCTACACCTACAGCCTCGGTGATGGGGTGCACGCGCGTGCATAACTGGCACAATCAGAAAGAATGCATTGCGTGGTGTGTTTGTTTCTTATTGCTATTATGACAAATTACCACAGACTTAAATGGCTTAAAACAATACAGATCTATTACCTCATAGTTCTGTATGTTAGAAGTCTGACATGGGTCTCATTGAGCTGAAATCAAGGTGTTGACAGGGCTGCATTCCCTTCTGGAGGCTCTAGGGAGAATCTGTTCCTTGCCTTTTCCAGTTTTAGAGGCTTCCAACATTCCTTGGTTCACTGCCCGCTTCCTCCACCTTCAAAGCCAGCAACACTGCATCTCTCTGATCATTCTACTGTACTATCTCCCGCTGACCCCAGAGAAAGTCGTCAGCTTTTAAAGATTCATTTTCAAGATTTGTGTGATTAGATTAGGCCCACTTGGACGGTCCAGGATAATCTCCCCATCTCAATGTCGGCAAAGTCCCTTTTTGCCATGTAAGGTAACATATTCCAGGGATCAGGGTTTGGACATCTTTGGGAGCCATTACTCTGCCTACCACACGTGAGTTGGTGAGAGTACCTTCAAAGTTCTGGCTAGCAAACGAGGTCAAAGAATGAGAAAGAGAGCAGCGGTCGCTGTTATTTGCTCCCAGATATTACTTATATCATCAAAGCATCAAGGAAATCAAAATTATTGTCTGCTTAAGGGATGCAGAACAGTAAACATGACATGGAACACATTCCTAAGCACCGAGGGCTTGGTTTGTAGCGCTCTGGAAATTAGGTTCTCCACAAACACAGCCAGCTGGCCCCTCGACAATATGGGCCTGATTCTACAAGGTGTCTGTTTTCCAGTAAAAGGCATATATGCCTAATCAGCTTCATTGAAGCTTTCCTTACTAAGGGACCGTGCATTCATTACCTCCTATGATGTTGGTGTTATAACTGCCCTATTTTACAGGTGAGACAGTACTTTTCACGGTTATGTTACTCGACAAGATCTTGCTTGCTTTCACCAAACCAGTAGCAAGTACATATCTGACTCCAAAGCCTGAGTTCTTAATCCTGTGCAGTACTATTCGCTTTGATAATCCATCTCTCTCAGGTCTCCCCACTCCCCATACCCCACACACAAACGAAGTTCTTTCCTAAGTCCCTATCTGATCCGAGGGTCTACATGTATGGGCTCTAGGCACGTGTGTGTGCACGCCCTTGCGCTCATGCGCACACATTCACTAACTCTTTCTGTCATGTGTGTCCTCACGAGGCTTTATGCCTTGAACAGGTATCTCTCTGTTGTGATCTCTGATCCGATACGGAGACTTCTGGGCCAGCAACAGGGCAAGCCGTGAGTACATGTCTTACGGTCGTATCTAGTTTCAAAATGAGGCTAGGTCACCATCTGTGAGGTAACCTGGCAGGTCACCTGAGCATCATGAACTTCAGCTTTCGCCTCTTGTAAGAGCTGCACAGCAATATCTGCTTCACAGGGTCATTGTAAGGATTTAAAGAGACGGTCTGTGTAAAGCACCTGATAATACTCACGCGATCCATTGTAGCAGATACAATTATCCTCAATTCCTTGCTATGTTTATCTACATAAAAGTGCCGTTGGAAGTTCTGGTCTCTCGGAAAGATGCTCATCGACAACCTCTACCGCTGTTAGTGACATCTATACAGCCAACAACCGTCGTTTAATCCCCACCTGATTGTTAAGGTGTGGTCCTTGCTACCCCAAATGATTTTCTTTTAAAGGGCTATGCCTGCCTGGAGAACTAGGGCCTGAGCCTTCTTGAAATTTTCTAATCACATCTGGTTTAGCTTTAGACATTTTCTGGGGTTTTGCCAGCAGCCACGACACTTTAATGGCTACAATAAACCTCAAAGCCTCATCAAATCTTTGCTGTATGTGTGAAAATTATGTCCACTTCAATTAAACATTCCATCTCAGCTCACACCCAGGCCTTGTGGAAACGGAGCTGAAGACTGAACGGGGAAGTGAGATGAAACGGGCCGCCACGACTCTGGCCATCTCGCCAGATGGGATTTGGAAGGACAAGAAATTCATTAGAGAACCCACGTTCTGTATTTTCTTTAAATATTTACTAGGTACCTTTCATGTATTAAAAACACGGGCATCTCTAAAGATTAGCAGGGCATTTTTTTGTTTAAATATTCAATGTGTGTGGGACAGCGCCGCTTTCCTCCTTTGCCTTGGTGGTACACTTCACGTCTTTGTGGTGACGTCCCACGCAAAGAAGAAAAATAACTGAGGTAGCGTTCAGTCTTCCTTCATAAGGCAGCTCCTCCAGCTTCAGAAGGTCTTGTATTTCCTTAAAATTGACTGGGGAAAGTGTCAGTGGAGTACTCAGAGATCCGGAATGACACCGTGGATCTCCCTAGAGAAAATCAGGTACATCCACTGCAGAGGTTTGGGGGCACCCCTGCCTCTACACGGTCCTTTGAATTCACTCTTCTTATCCCTTTGTTATTTATCATCAAACACACAGGGATATCAAAGGGAGTGGGCTGAGCCAGGATGCCTGAGAAAGGCAGCCGTGGAGGGACGGCAGGCGAAGAGGAAAGATCCAACGTAGATCAGGTTTCTGCTCGAAAGACCATACGAGAGGGTCTCACAAGGACCAAAAGACGAGAGAGGATGGGCATGCAGGGATGGCGGCCAGGGACTGGACAAGCACAGGTCTTCTCTGCTACTGCAAAAGCCACCCTGAGGACTGGCCTGGCCCTAATTCTGCCACTGGAGAGAGGTAGAAAAAAACTGCTACGTGATGCTACTCCGCTTTCTTAGAATAAAACTCAAGCCCCGCAACTCAGTCGAGGATCAAACCGCCCCTTTTTGAGGAGACGGAAAAGAATGATCACGAGGTCACGTATCACATTCCTGAACGAAGCATTCATTGAAATTCACACTCTCGACCACATCGACAGGAGGGGAAAAAAAAACCCGCATGTTCCTTTAAAAATAATTTACAAGGTAAAAATATTCACTTGTAACCACTATCCTTATTTAAGCAAGTTCTATGCCCAAAGTAAAAATAAATGGCTCTCCCTGCCACCGGGAGCAGATCTTTCCCACTTTACTTCCATTTCCAAGCTGTCCTCTAAGACTTAGATTTCTGAGCACTCTTTCACAATAAACATTTTTAAAATGTTTATTTTATGTCTTAGTGTAAAAATATTCCTGGTGCAAGCTCTTCATTTCCTCAAGCTCTGCTTTTGGCGTGCTGGGCTCCATTTCCACATTAACACGCTCCCTAAATCCTCCACAGAGCTCTTCAATTGGAGTTATACAAGCTCCAAGGCAAGTATTTATATTCTTGGACAAGGAGATGTCTCCACAGTGAAAACACAAGGCTCTAGAAATGCCAAAGGAAAATTCCTGCCCGAGAGACATATTTTCACCTTTTAAAAAAGCCAAAAAGGGCTTTCAGCATTTTGCTTTGGATAATTAAAAATGTAAATTAAACTAAAACAGACTGTTTACTACGGGTCTTACCATCATTATTAGACTCATATACATAAACGAAATATATAGGCACGTGTGTGTGTGTGTGTGTGTGTGTGTGTGTGCGCGCGCGCGCCACAGGGAGAGCAAGAGCAAGAGTGAGAGACAGAAAGATAAGGCAGCACATAGTTAACTAGCTTAGAAAATGCAATGCATGAGATTTTCTAATCAGACCCAATCTGCCTCTCACTGGCTGTGCGAATACAGCTTCTCGAAGTCTCATTTTTCTCATCTATAAAATGGAGTTAGTGTAGTTCCTGCTTATTCGGGTCATTAGAAGAATTGTATGAGAACACAGTAAGAATTCAAAAAAAGGGTTGTTATTATTTTTATTAAAATTATATCTATTCCATGCTGGAAAATGTAGATATAACAAGATATATATATATATATATATATATATATATAAAATAAACACTAATTAACACTAATGAAAGAGAAAGATGTGTAAATACACTGCCTCCAAATTGTGCACAGAGATGGAAAGTGTCCTGAGGTAGTGCACCATAACTGAACTCTCACCATTCCATTCCCCAAGCCATACAGAAATCATCCTCTTAAATCATTTTAAAAAATCCTATCTATTATCATAATAACAGAACAGTGTGCCTGTTACCTTCTAGTTGCCTCTTCAGTTTTCTCAAATCTTTTATAAGGTCTTCAAATTTGACTTGGGAGGCCAGAAAGAAATCTTGTGGTTCGGGCAGGGGGAAAACACTCTTTTCTGTTCCTGCTTCCTAGAATATACGGTAAACAAAAGTACATTTTACTTCCCAATTGTCACTTTCAGTTGAAATTCCAAAGCATCTTTTTTTCGGATGGTTGGATAAGAATCATGGCAATGCTCCCCTGCTATTCCTAACTTTGGACTTGTCGCTTTGAAGTGCGTGCGTGTCTTTCACGCTATCATTTCGGTCTTATTGGCACTGAGGTTGGCTATGGCTGTAGCTATGGCATGGGCTGGGCTCTGTTTTGCCTCTTGAATCAAAGAGAAAATGGTCAGGTATGTCCTAATCTTAGACCCTCTACTCCCATGGAAAATGGCACAGGAAGAACACATGAAAGTACTTGAATTGAAAGTCCCTGTTGAGTTTCACATGGCAGCAATTAGATAACTCATCTTTGGGGTATGCCAAAGGGTGTGAGTTGGAAGGTACTGGGTAAGGCAGCACTGAGGTGGGAGAAACAATCACCATCGCTTATGCTCTTACCCACCTTCCTCTGCAGCTTAAAGCTCGTGGGCACACGCGCGCGCGCATGTGATCAAATTCTTCACATATTTGTAAAGATTCTCTTAATGTTGTTTGGCTTATCTTAGCAGATGTTTACGAGGGCATGGTTGGGTTGGGTTTTGACAAGCTCCACAACTATACCTAATAGAGGATCTCAGCTGAGAAACACCCAGAGGGACACGAACTGTAGGCACATCGGGAGACCAGCAGAGCCTCAACTGTCTTTTCCAGTCCGGCTTGCTTTCTCCCCGAGTTGTTTAATACAAGCTTTGTGTCTTGCATGTCTCAGGCCATCTCCGCTTATTCTCCTCTCCACACAGGCTACTTTGCCAGCTTTCCTTCACATTCCATCTTCCCTACTGCCATTAGGACTAATTCCAAACTCTAAAACGGCTTTACAAGGCACTTTCTGATCTGGCCTCTGTCTCCATCTCCAGCCTGATTTCTCCCTTCCCCTATCGCTAACTCCCTCTCCTAAACTTTCATAAAATAAAAGAACAGGCCACAGTCTCTTGCTTCTAGACTTCTGTCTACAAAACTGTCCCTCTTCAAAATCTCTTCCCCAGCCCCTCTTCACACCTCCTTGTTCATACTCCTCTTTCTAGTCTCAAAACAGATATCACTTCCTTAAAGACCTCCCCTAAGCCTCACCACCTGGGTGTCTCCAAGAGTCCCTGCTAATTCCTGTTATCACAGCACTTTTCAACGTTAACTTAAAAATTGCCTCGTTAGCTTGTGTGTCTTCCCCACTAGACTATAAACATTTTGAAGGCAGGAACTGTGCCTTGTTCTCGGTCACGTACACACCATCTGGCCTACCAATAAAATCTGTTTGGCACCACTAACAGAGAGCTTATAAAACGCTATTCTGGGAAGTGTGCACCTCGGGCAGGAGTCATCTAACTTATCGTCCTGTTTTCTTGTGGTTTTGAGAATTCCCTGGACCCTAGCCCCCTTCCTTTAAGACCTTTGGCCTCATTTGGGATGCTAGGAGGAGGTGGTTTTCCTCATTTGATCAGAGCAACATTTTACGTGATCAGTGTACTATTTTTCATCTTCCTCTACTTATTTTCCTGCTTTTTAAAAAACCATGGAAGCAGTACCTTCCTTTGAGCGCCAAGGTGGAACAACATCTAAGATGCTTGTCACGAAACTCCATGGTAATCTATGGAAGAACTCATGCATATTTCTATTTTCCAAAACTTTTTATCAGATTCAGTCCTGGCTTCTTTTTTTTTTTTTTTTTTTTTTTTAAGCTAGAAAAAGAGAAAATGCTACTGAGCAAATCGGCCCGGTAGTAGCTCTTGCGAAAGCTGCTCAACTGGAGTTCAAAAGACATGGCCCTAGAAGGGTTTCTTTGAACTTCACATAGACCTAGACTTGGACCAAAAACCAGGCATGAGTGGAAGGAAGCTTGGAGCAAGAGTCACCTTTCTTCCGCTAACTGCTCATCACCACTAACCACAAAAATCATCACTTATGCTCCTAAGAGGGAAGGGATCATTTACTAAATCACATAATGCTGTACTCTTGTTGAGTGCAATTCATTTTAACACAGTGAAAACTGGGAGAGCACCACACAAATGTTGACTTCTGATTTTTCCTAAACTGGACCATCCCGTGTTTGCAATTAATCTTACTTTAAGATTTCCCTCTGTGAAGTCGATTCCACTGGGTTCAGCTCTCTTCAGTAGGAGTCAAACTCCATCGGCAAACTTCATCCTTCCTACACAGTGCAGCTGTGTAGGCAGGATGGTTGAAGCAGAGACTATGAGTACATCTGCTTAGGCCAGCCTCGAATTTGAACTGTCACCTCAAGATCCTTCAGGATAACTCTTCTGCCACCCTGGTACCTGCCTTCAGAACTTTGGCTGCACACATATTGCCTGAAGCTCAACACACCTACCCTGCTCTACCAGAAGATAGCTCTCGCCTCGTTGCATCTTGTTTGTTACAGATGCTACTTATTACATGCTTGTGGATATTTATAGTACATTCAACTCAGCAAGTATTTATCAAGCACCTACATTACGAACATGAAAAAAGAGACAACAAAGAGTTCCGGACCTCAAGGAGCAATGCCAGGAAGCTAGGTAATTGCTCAATGATATCTATACACAGGGGAATAATAAACCTGGTGGTAGATACATTGACAACGGTTAGATAAACCCACCAGGAGGGTAGGAGAGATGACTAAAGACTTCATCAGTGCTTGGCCTGTCTTCTGCATGAAACTGTAGGCCTTTTGAAAACGAGGCCCTGGAAGCTTTACTTTTCTTCCCTTGGTACCTAGGAAAAACTCTGCTTGTGTGGATAGTCGAGCGGGACTCCTGACAGCATTTTCCTGAGACTTTTTCCATTTACTGACTGCTAGGTTTCTCAACAACTTACAATAGTACCTCTTTCTTCTCAAAGCTAGGACTCCTTGTTCTCGATTTAATGAGAAGGACTAAAACACAGAAAATTGCGCTCAGGTGGATTCTCACAGAAATTTTTATTTCTAATGGCCCAGTGTAATCTAAGCAGGGAAGATGGATTTCAAATTCCCCGTCTTTAACTTGTTCACAGATGAACATTGCTGATAAAGTATTGGGTATTATTGCATCTTAAGTTCCTAAAGTTTGGTCTGCATCCCAGAATCTAGTTTCAAATATAACCAATTACTGAATGGATATGGGTTTCACAGAGACTCTCACAATCTGGTCAGAAGGCACTGAGATGACTGGGGGTCTCTCTGAAGCTGTGTTATACAGCGGATTAAGAGTCAGTAGATTTGCGCCACTGAATAATGCTTCTCTTTACAAGAGTCAACTAAACTCTCTTGGCTCCAGTGTTCCCATCTGTAAACCAAGGAAGCTGGAGAGCTCTCAAATTCTATGTTGGACTTGAAATTCATCCATCCATCCATCATCCAGTTTCTGAATGCCAGCAATGTGCAGGAGCTGAAACCCCATTAGTGTAGTTTTCCACATAACGCTATTTCTTACCTGATCATAGTAACGCAGGTAATATTTCACAACATAGTCCACCAGATTAATCCCATTATCCTAGGTTTAAAAGAGAAGTTTAAATGAATATCATTCACATGAGACCCTGCCATATTAGATAGTCAAAGAGCTGAAATCTCACTCTGTAACTCTAATACTTTTCATTTGTGATACTTGGTCCTAATTCTGTTTGAGACTGTCCTCTCTCCTCCTTGTCCCATTCATTTTTATGGCATCTCTACAAAGAAACGACACTACACTCTTTCTTGGGGTGCGGGGGGAACCCAAAGAGGTAATCCATAAGGCCTCTGAGGTAATGGCTAAGACAAGCGCCAGCCAACCAAAAGACTGTCTCCATACTTTCAGGCATAAAGCCAAGAAGGGAGGGGGTAGGGGAGGGCTCAAGGGAACCAGAGAGTAGAACAGAAGACCATCCCTCCCTTCCCACCTTTTAAAAAATGTGTGTTCTTACTGGCGTGAAAAACAATCAAGGAGGCTTAAAAGGAACACCCTGCCACTTTATGACCCTGGGACTCCAGGGGAGAGCAGGCCCTCCCACAAGGCAGCCTTTGTGTCTCGTTCACGTGGGTCTAATTCTAATTTGCCTGTGTGTTTCCCCTCCCTCCGCTCCCCCTGCCCCCCCAGGGGACGCCTAGATATGGGCTGGTTGTTTCTAAAGAGGTAGCTCTGCAGGGTGTGGAGCCAAGCGATAATCAGTCTCAGAGGGTCTGACAGTGGACCCCCAGCCCAATTGTTGTGGACCCGAGAGTAATTCAAACGCTCAGCTCCCGTGGTGAGTCAGCACTGCTCTCCACTTAGGAGCGAGTAAATTACAAGGAGCTAACACCAAACTCGAGCCGACTCAAGCCTTGCGCTATGGCTAATACTGTACGCTCTCTGCTTTATCCTCTCACGGCAGTTCAACATCTAACTGTGTGCTTTCGAGCAAACGAATGTTGGGGATTTTGTCATCAAAACAAGATGGAAAACCTGTCTTTATTCAAAAGAAAGCAAACAATGTACCGTTAGGGGGAGGATAGAGATGAACGGAACACCCAGGAACACTTTTTTTGAAAATTGAAGGTATACGAGGAAAACAATGACAGATCACAGACCTTCGTTATGAAAAATAAATAAATACCCGACTTTTGACGTCCTTGAGTTTGGGCAGAATTTCTAAGCTATATCCATCTGCTTGTCCCCGAGTCCTATTTCCTCCATTCATATAGTTTCCAAAAGCCAGAATGAGAGCCAAAATATCCTTCACACTCTTCATTTGCAGCAAGCCCTGGGAAGGCAAACACCCATTATTATGCAGCTGAACTCCAAACGCACCTATGTTCGTTCAACAACAAATATTCACTGAGCACTTGATAGGCTGTTTGCTGGCCTGTTACCAACTGGATTTATAGTTGGTGAAATGGAAAATACACTTCACTAAGCCATAAGTGTCTTAAAAAATATGTTAACAGCCATCATTTTTTAATCCTTTCAATGAATTACAAACTGCGCATGTTCTAATACTGAATAGTAAATACTAGTTTTTATATTTCTATTTGAGCCGGTTTTATTTTTTAAATACTTATTTTAAAGGATTTAGAAATTGAAAAAAGACAGTTGTTACAGTTAGGCTTTGTATTTGACGGCTTCTAAGTAGGAAGGGGTTTAAGATCATTTGAGGATCTGGTTTTGGACGATGTATCTATACAAACAGCACAGTTAAACGTAGGGTAGATACAATAGCAAGCCTATACTTCCTTATCCCCGGAAATAATCCTCAGAGGTGAACTACAGAATCCTCAGAGGTGAATACAATCATGTATTTCAAGGTCATAGGCTATGTTTATTAAGTGTTGGCTGATTTGTCTGTTAACTTTTACTATCTGTCTATTAATTTCAAGCTGCTTGGGGTTCTCTTCAGCTCCCCATCTCATTTGTTTTTCCTCTCTCTCTCATTCTTTTGCCCCAAGTGCAAATTTTCAAATTGATACTTTTCCCCTTCTCTACAGTTTTAGTCGACTTTATTTTCCTTGATTTTAGGGTAAAGAAAGTAAACCAAGTGCAGCTCTAGGACGACCTCTGCTCCTGCCTCGTAGGGCGTTATTAGAGGGTGTATATTATATACCTTGGTAATATTTATGCTTTCTTTAGTGAAATCTTTTATATCTTAGAAGGAAAAAACCCCATGCCTCCAGATAAGCAACTAAACATTACAGTAGTTGTGGAGGATCACCATGTGGTGAAGGACGTGCGTCATTGGGAGAAAAAGCCACATTCAAGAATTTAACTTCATAACAAACCCCAGTGTGGTAAAGCCAACAAAAACTTATCGGCCCATCACTCATTATCATAACCATTGATTTCATTTATCAAGTCTCTAGAATATTTTTATTTTACTATGTAAACACATTTCAGATGATCCAATGCATTGGTCTAAGGCAAATCTCTTTTTGCAATCTAGAGAGTCAGAATGGAAAACACACTATACTATTTAGGTTGGTTTTAAGTGGCCAGAATGTACATTGGGAGGTATTTGGAATACGTGAGAAGAAATCTGTAAAAGTGTCGTTTTTTTTCCTCCCTCTTTCTCCTCTGTCGATCTGCGTCTCCTTCTTTCTTACGCACCTGCATGCACGCTCACACGGGATAATCGTCACAGTTATACTCAGGAAAACACACAACCTTAAGTCCACAATATTTCTGCAGAGGGACTCGAGTTGATCTTTCCCAGTCCCCACTCCCTCCTTTACCCCCAAGGAGGGCAAAGCTGTCTTTGAATTAGACGGCAAACATACCTTAGAAGCTCGTGTGATGATCTCTACCTTTCGGTGCACGGCAGTAATGCCCTCAGAAAAGACAGATCTGAAGATTATACACTGGGCACGTTCAGCAAAATTAGGGATCTGGGCTAACTCGTGTAAAAATCTGTAAGAATTAAGAATGAATCATCTGACTTCACATATAATCGCAAGGAAAATAAAAAGACAGCAGAAAGAGATTCGTCATGAGAGCATTCCTTGTTTGACGACGTTAATTGAACAATTATAAAAGGCATCAAACAGGCAAACTCAGGGGACTCCAAGGGTTTGTGCTCTACTGTTAACAACAAAGACGCTTTTAAAAATGGGTTTCCATATCTCACCTCACACCTGTCAGAATGGCTGTCATTAAAAAGAACACAAATAACAGATGCTGGAGAGGATGTGGAGAAAAGGGAACCCTCGTACACTGTTGGTGGGAATGTAAATGGGTGCAGCCACTGTGGAAAACAGTACGGAGGTTTCTCAAAAAAAACTAAATATAGAGCTACTATATGACCCAGCAACTCCACTCCAAAAAAAAAAACAAAATCCAAAAAAACCAAAAACACTAATTTGGAAAGATACATGCACCCCAACGGTCACAGCAGCATTATTTACAACTGCCAAGATATGGAAGCAACCTAAGCAACCACTGACAGATGAGTGGATAAAGAAGACGTGGTATATGTGTATATACATACACACACATACATATACACACACAATGGAATACTACTCAGCCATAAAAAAGAATGAAAATTTGCTATTTGCAGCAACACGGATGGACTTGGAGGGCATTAGGCTAAGTGAAATAAGTCAGACAAAGACAAATACTGTATGATACCACTTACATGTGGAATCTAAAAAATACACCAAAATAGTGAATATAACAAAAAAGAAGCAGACTCACAGATACAGAGAATTAGTGGTTACCAGTCGTGGCAGGAGGGGCCATATAAGGGTAGGGGAGTGGAAGGTACAAACTATTGGGTATAAGATAGGCTCAAAGATATATTTTACAATGCAGGGGATATAGCCAACATTTTGTAATACCTGTAAATGGAAAATAACCTTTAAAAATTGTATAAAATTTTTTTAAAATAAAAAAAAATAAAATGGGTTTCTATAATGGTGAGCAAACATATGGTGTATAAATTAAGAACAGAAAGTTAACGCAAGTATACTGAACCATGTGAAGCTATCTGTCTCTTGCTACCCCAGTAAGACTAAACCGAAATGGAAAGCATTAATCTTAAGTGTTTGGGGAAAAAAAAAAATACACAGCAGACTCCCTTTATAATGCAGCATTCTCTAATGGTGTATTAACACAGGCTAAGTAAGGGGAAGCCTTGAGGCAAATGTCCATAGACAAGTGAAAAAATAATCTCTTTCTGAAGTTAGATTACTACTTTTTGCTGTTGTTGTTCAAACAATCATAATAATCTATAATGATTCTATTCTGCAGGTATTTGTTTACTTTTCCACAACAACTTACCTACACAGACAGGACTTCATAGCTCCATGCTTGGAACAAAGGAGGCACTCATTAAGTGGGCACAATCTAAAGTTTCTTAAAAACTATGGCAAGACAGATCTTAAAAGCTAAAGTTGAGTACCGACCTACGCACAGAAGTTCACTGTCTGAGCAGCTGGGCACTGGTGCCCTTTGCAAAATTAAGTTGGAAGAGCTACATATCCTCTAGACCAACCACCCGAGGTAGGGGTATACACTGAAATGGATGGAAAGAGTTGGACATGAATTCAGAAAAGGAGAGAATCCACTAAAAGCTTTTAAATCCATTTGGGGGTTGAAATGATGATTAACTGATAGTTCTGAAAGTCTGGGTCAAACCATAACATCATCACCTTGACATTTTGTAACCTCTTACCAAGAATGCTTTTACCTAGGAGCAAAGCTGGAGCCCCCTTCTTTCCAGAACCAAAGGAATTTCCTTAGCTAATAATACTCTGTGCCTCTTTTAGGGACACTTGGGTTTTAATAAGATTCTAATAATCAGCTGTTTTTCTTATTTATCCTACAACTAGGTCATAATCCTTTTTTTTTTTTTTTCCTAAATAACACTGAGAGGAAGCAAAGAATGTCCATAAAAGAAAACATATCTTTGCTTTAAGGTTCTGTAACTCTGATTATTATGAAAACCATGTGATGGGATATAAAAGTGGAAACCCAAAGGAATTCTGAATTAGGACAAGATGAAAAAATGACACTCTATGTGTGAATTGTTTCTTTGTAAAATTAGTATTAAACCACTGATGCATTTATGACTGAAATCAGGGGTATCGCCAGTTCTCACAAACATGAGCAGTAAAAAGCTTGCGGGACTGGAGGCATTTGGTCCTGTAGCGAGTCTTGGGAAGTTTTACTTATTCAGACGCTGCTGAGAGCAACCTCAAGTGTAGCACCCTGCACTTCTCCCTTTCCAAATGCAGCCATGAAACACTATTCCCTAAGTAGGACCCAGATCCCTGAGTGGGTACACTTCCTCGTTTCAATGAACACAGCGAGTGAAGCATTGATGGAGAGAATATACATTATCAACAGCCCAGCTTACCAGCAAGGTCTTAGATGAGAAGAAGGAACTGCTGTATAAGCAATTGCTTATAACTCGTCTCCAAAAAGGACGTTTAGGACCAACATGAGGAGACGAGCCCACAGGCTCAAGCAATTGGTGTTACCCGGAAAAAAGAGTAAAATAGAACTACAAGGTTCCCTGGGGTCAAAGCTTTACTGGAACTAGGGCTCGCAGTAGGAAGGCTCTCAGAGAATCTTAAAGACCCAGTGTTCTGTGTATGGAGAAGGGGCCGAAGCACATATCCAGAGTTGGAGGGGGGAGGGAAATTCAGCTATTTCACAATACTTTTGGATAGAACTGTAGGGAATGTGTCACCAAAAATACCAGAGCATCAGTCACCAAGGATTTTAGTGTCTTTAGATGTGTACGAAGCACTTACAGTGCGTCAGGCACCACGCTGAGACCTGAGAACAGAATTTAACTTAAACACAATTCCTTCTTGATCACCTGTGAAATAAATCCACAGTTACCACGAGGGTGATGAGCGCTCTCGGTGATGGGGCCTAAAATAGGAGCTATGGAAGCCATACGCAGGGCATCAAAGTCAGAGCCCTGGAGGGACCGTGTCAGCCAAGGTTTCCGGGAGCCCTCTGGTCCCTGAGCAGGACACATGTAAGAGACTGCCAGCGAGAGCCTGGACAGGCTGAATGATATTCGTGGGGAAAGGTGAGAAAAAGCTAAAATGGGGCTTTGTGTTCTAAAATAAAGAGTTCAAGCTTTTTTTCTGAATGAATGAAGGGTTTTAAACAGAGGAGTGAAACTTTCCGCTTTTTGTTTCAGAAAATCGCCCTTGCAATGGCTCGGCTGATGGATTGGAAGTGAGAGCAGATCTGAGGCTGGGAGCAGCTGGACTATTCTAAGGGGGAACGAGAGAGGGCCTGCGGTGTGGATGCTGAGGGGCGAAGGGTGAGAAAGCGACTGAGGCTGCCAGACCCTATGGAGCTGACCCATCCCACGGGACGCTGAGAAGAGTCCAGGATGACTTGTGAGTTTTGGGGCCTGGTCACCTGGTAGAAGGCGAAGATACAAAATACTAGAGAGGCAGATTTGGGAAAAACAAAGTCTCGAGGAAAGCAGACTTTCCCATTTATCTGAGAAAGTACCAGAAGTACAGGTTACCTCAAAGGCTATGAAGTGCCTAATATCTTATCTCCCACATGTGGGTTTTACACTCCACCCACAAGGGCAGGGGTAAGCGCTCCTTTACACATCCCCAAGGAGAGGGTCTTGGGCATTATTAGGCCATGGTACTTATGAAGATTTAGGGACTGATTTCCTTTTGGACTGGTCTAACTTTACACCCTAGGGCCAGAGATAGAAAGGACTCAATACCCGCAAAGAGCCGCAGGCCAGGGACCTTCCTCTTCTTTCCTTAAGGCAGGCTGATCTTCCTAGGATGGACTGTAAGTACAGCCGGTACACAGCAGAAACATTCTGCACCTCACGGTACGTGGGTCACACACCCACAGCAACTCGGCTGTCAGGTGGATCGATGCAATGGGCCCACTGTTTTCAAGGGACTAACATGTGGTTTACCATTCCTCAAAGCCCTGAATGCTGTAACTTATGTTCCTCCATAGAGGAGGACGCTAACAGAGCCTTGTTTCAACGTCAATATGTCTTCTTTGGGGCGATCCCCGGGCAGCTGTGGGCCTCGGTGGAGCATCCCAATAGGCTGTATATGGTATCCTCACTTTAGGCCACAAAAAGCACACATCAGGCCTAATCAGACCCAGTAGAGCCTCCCCTCGCCTCACCACCATCCCAAGGAGAGTGTGAACAGAGTTGAGGACCATTGCTGAAGGGAGCGGTTCTCAGACAGCCTGGTCCCAAGCAGATGACACCTCTGTGGGAAATGACTTTCTAAATCTGGCCCTGCGGCGCAAGAAAGCTGATGAGGTGAGTGAGGAGGGCAGCCTCCCCAGGCTCTGATTTAAAGCCTGGGCACCACAGGAATCTTAGGAAACTGCAATGCTGAAACTATAAATGATTCATATTTTCCAGTATGCAAAACATGCTTATAGTCAACTCACTTGGAACTAATGGCAAATCAGTTGCCAGAAAATCAGACTCTGCCATGAATCAAATGAATGCTACACTGTGCAGGAGGTCAGGAGTAAAGGTGAAAATCACTCAGCCCTGGAGGCCCTACCTCTCTGGGCCTCACCCTCTAGCAGCTGAGCCCGAGCATATCACCAGGACAACATGACCATCTTCTTTGCTGCCACTAAGAGCTTAGCATGTTCAGGAAGCCCTTACAAGGACCATTGGCAAACTTTAAAAACACTCTTCCATCCACATCATCAGGAGAGAAAGCAAGAGAACTTTAATAAGTCATCTGTTAATTACCTGCTGCCAGTATTCTGTGTCCTGGCAATTAATCTCGAAAAATAATGCTAGAAAGGCATTAACACAGGAAGGAAAAGGGGAACCCTTCCGGAGCAAGGACCCACGGTTCATTTTACCAAGTGGGCCGTTCCACAGTTTAGAGCAGGGGTTGGTGAATTACAGTCCCCAGGCCGAATTCTTTGTTTTGGTATGGCCCATCAGCTAAGAATGGTTTTCACATTTTTAAACGGTTGAAAAAAATCAAGCATTTAAACATTAATATTAATCAAATATCAACCAGAATAATATTTTGTGACATGTACAATGATATGAAATTCAAATTTCAGCGTCCATAAATGAACTGTTCTTGGCGCACAGCCACGCCCATTTGTTTATGTATTGTCTGTGCTCGCTTCTGCACAACCACCGTTGACTTGAGTAGTTCCAGCAGATTGTAATGGCTCACAAAGCCTAAAGTACTCACTACCGGGTCCTTCATAGGAAAAGTTTACCGACTCTGGGCTTGGAGTATCATTGCTTTAACATGGCATAGTTGGCACTACCCAAATGCTTGTCCGTGTTATGGACTGAATGTTTGTATCCCCCCAAAATCCCTAAGTTGAAATCCTAACCCCCAAAGTGATGGTAATAAGAAGTAGGGCCTTTAGGAAGTAATTAGGTCATGAGGGTTGAGCCCTCATGAGTGGGGTTAGTGCCCTTCAGAGAAGAGACACAAGCGCTTACTTCCCCTCTCTGCTCTCTGCCACGTGAAGATACAAAGGGAAGTCTGCAGCCTGGAAGAGGGTGCTCACCAGAACCCAACCATGCTGGCACCTGGATCTCAGACTTCCAGCCTCAGGAACTGTGAGAAATAAAATTCTGCCATTGATAAGTCACCCAGTTTAGGATACTTTGTTATAGCAGCCCAAACCGACTAAGACAGTCCTCAAATACTCCTCAGGGCCTTGTGTCTAAATAGCCCATTATTAGTCACTTCATTTTCGGTCGTCAGCACCTTAGTGGGAATGAATTTATTATATTAGGAAACAAGACTTGGGAGTGGACCACAGGATGGGTCGGGATGGGAGTTGGTAAGGACGGGGGGCTCAAGTCGATGGAACAGAAGGGCAGGGAAGCCCATCTGCATTGATTCACAATATTCCTAGGCTTCATGAACTAACTTTGGGTGTGTGTGTGGGGGGGAACCCTGGCATATGCTCCATGTGACAGCCAGTCATCTAAGGGTCCCCAAATTATCATAAAGGTTTGTCAATAACTGAGTAAACCTACAAATTCCTCACCCAGTCACTGAAAGATGTTTCTTCTGGACCTGAATACCCTGGCTTCCAAGGGGAGTGGGGCATTTTAGAGGAACCAAGGGCAAGATGTGACGGTTTCAGTATGAGCAACTGACCCCTGAATGTCTCTGGGGCTGACTTGTTACCCTAAACCCAGTCAATTTCCTCTTTGCTTCCTATTCCTTGCCTCATCTCCAGGCTGAGAAGCACAGCCTGCACTGGGCAGGAAGCACTCAAGGTAGCCACGAGCTAAGTAGCCCTCTGTCCACTCGGGACCCATCCCACATTCTCACAGAGTCCTTAGGGCTGCAGAGCCCCAGAAGGTTATCCATGGTTTGTAGACCCCAAGAGCCCAGCCAAGGACGAGAGTCACTCAGTTATGCACTAGAGTTCTGGGCTTTCAAAGTGTGTGGAACACCCCAAACTAGAGAGCAGACACCTCCACATAGTGACTGGAGAGAAGCACAGGCACATGCAAAGGGAGGATGAAAAAGCCACATCTAAATTGGGCAGAGCAGGTAGAGAATTTGGGGAGAAAGCTGGCACGTTCAGGCTACACTTACTGGATACAATATTTAGGAAAATCAATTTGAATTCTGTGACTCTGACATCATCCCTTTTAACTGCATCAGCAGAACCTTAAACAGAGCAGTAACCTCTCCCTTCCTCAGTTACCCTTTGGGCCAGAATGTTTAGTCTAGGAGGAATTAACAAGTTGCTAGGACAAGAAAAGGGGAGTCATGAGGGGTGGGGTGAGGGGTTGAGACATGATATCCAGCAGCACAAATCTCCCGGCTGCCTTTCCCAGCAGTCAGGTCACTCTGCTGTGTGCAATAGGTCACAGGAATGACGCTGCTGTGACTTAGCTTGGCACAGTTGAGATCTGGTTATTCGGCGCTGGAAGGCAGCAAGATAGGGACGGCCCTTCTTTTGTTAACAGAAAAGTGTTTAAGCATCCTTACTGCTCAGGTTTATCCAGTAGCTTCAATTCTTCCTCTTTGGATGTCTCATAATACTTTCTTATTTTAACGAGTTCATCCTCTTGGGCTCTCTGTGTTGAAATAGAAACAAAACACACACAAAAAGTGAGCAATGAGAACCTGTCTAAAGCAGTGTGTCTCAGACTGTGGTCTCTGGACAGGCAGCATCAGCACCACCTGTCGCTAGTCAGAAATGCCTATTGTTGGCCCTACCCCGGATATAAGACACTCCAGAGGTAGGGCTCAGCAAGCCCTCCAGGTGGTTCTGAGACATGCTAATGTTTGGGAATTACTGGCTAAACTCAATGGTCCTAACAAGTGACCTTAGCTGGATACAGAAGCCAGGACATTTGATTGCTAACCTTTGAATCCCCTGTGTCTTTTCCAGTAAGATAGGGTAAGGGTCAAGTTGTCCTTAGCATTTGCTTTCTTCATCCTCAGAACCGAACAGCCCTCCTAACTCATGTAGGCGCCTGATTTTGAAATTTCTGGTCCGCAGGTTCTTTCTGAATTTTCTAAGCATTCGTTGTCTGCACCACTGATTTTGGCATTTAGTCCCATACGTCCTCAATGTGCGCAACTGTGTCAGTTGTATGTGGCTTATCTCTACTGTAAGCTAACGAGTACCCATCACGCGCACAGTCCTGAGCCCGAGGTAACAACTAAAAGCATCCTAGAAGGCACTCTGCCTTTTACAAAGTCCTCCGACATCAAGCATTGCATCCTTGTTTTAAAGCTGACTCCACCGAGGCTTACACTAAGGACCTGGCAAAGAGCCTGGCTTAGAACACCTTTCTTCCACAACACCATGATGCCCCCCAGGTATTCAACAAATGTGCCATTAGCTCCCGACGGCCTAGGATTTGTGCACCTTCTTTATGAACGAAAGCCTTCCTGAGAGAAACTTGGGAAGTTCCCACCCAGTCGTACCAAACAGTTCCTGACACACACAAAGGACGTAGAAAGGTGAAGGGAACTGGCAATCCCGCTAGGCGGGATTATCACACTATGGAAATTTTCTCGGAGATGCTTAAGGTCCCAGGGGACCTCAGTATTGAAATGAAATCGTTTTTCGAGCTCGGTAATCATAGCATGCTATAGAGCTCCGGGTAGCTTCCTGAGAAACAGCATTACTTCAGTAAAAAGGATCTGTTTCAGTCTATGTTTTCAAATCCTAACAGAGTCAGCGAACCAGAACAGTTAACAGTTATGGGAATTGTGACTCTCCTGTGTCACCTTCTCAAGAAAGCCTGACAATTATGCTCGTTATCTCCACATGTAATCCACACATGAAGACCATATATGTGTACAGCACTGTTTATTTTCAAAAGACACGGCTACTGCTGCATATACTGAATTCTCTTTTAATACAAAAATCACGTCGAGCCCATTATAATCCCCATTGTACTGATAAACAGGTTTAAGGAATTTAACTGGTCTGAAGCCACTCAGCAGTAAATGGTAGAGCTCGACCTCAAACCTGAGAGTATCTCACTCTAAATCCGAAACGCACACCCACCACCCTATACTATTTCCCACGATCAATGCCGTCAGTTCACTTGGGCTAAAAGTAACCATCCAAGCTGGTAACAGCATCCCCATTCCTCAGAGGATGACACTGGTGCACACCAGTGTTCAGCTGGTAACTTAGCTTCACGCACTCTGATTGCAAGCCACAGGGCTGGGCTGGGTTCCATGGCACACGAGTGGCCTCCACATTGAGCTGCCTTCCCTCGCAAAAGAAATCTACTAACCCAGATACCACAGTGGGCGGTCGGGAACCTAGCGCTTTCTTCATGCTCAGTCTCATTTGAGCCTGCATTTCTGTGCCTTAACCTCTTCCACGCGATGTCACAATTCCCACTGCCGAGGAACATGAATGGCTCAGTGACTTTTCAGGTGGAAGGAGCCACATATAACCATTTTCTAGACATTACCTTTTTTTTAAGTTAGTTAAGATACAAAAATCCGGAAACTCTGGCTCCGTAGGTGTTTGATACTCACGTTTTCATATAAGGCCGCCAGGGTTTCCAGATCCACCACGGAATCATCCACGTTAAAAATGGCTGCCGAGCCCCCAAAGAGAAGAAGAAAGAGGACAAGAGGTGAGATTGGACGCCCCTGCACTCACATGTACTCCACGTCTAGCTTGCAAGCAATGTAACATTGCCCCCTCTCACACAGGTTGCCTTTCGGCTCGTTCCCGCTCCCTTTCCTCTTGCACCAGGGGCCCCCCGTGAAAGAAACCGAAATGGTTCCGATCACTGGGCTGAGCCTTGGCCCTGCCTGGTTTAATTCCTCAAGCTCTGCATCCTTTCTGCAGTTTAATTTAGGCTCCACAGGAGAAGTGTTTGTGCTTTAAAACTAAATCAGTTTGTAGGTTTGCAACACAAGGTTAAATCTTTCTTCCCGGCTGGTAATTGAAGAGATTTAGTACCTGATGCACCAGAACTGACTCTTGCCCGTGACCAGGAAGAGAGAGAGAGAGAAAAAAAAAGACGATGTTGGCAAATTAAATGAATTCAGGCATGTGATTTCAGGCACCTTTCCATGGCCGCTGCAAACATCTTGTTTGGATTAAAGAGACAAGAAAAAGCAATAATTGCATCAATGGCAAATTAAGATTATGGAAACCTCCCATGAGCCAGTCTTAAGGCAAGTTCTCATTCCCATGGTTTTATTTGGATCCTACTTGTTGTTCTGTATGTTAAATAAGTTAGTTAGCTGTTTACTAATATGCCTGTGATTTCATCTAGAGAGATTCCTTCCCATATATACCAGCATACAAACATTGAGATTTTAAAGCCTTAATGGATTTGGCAATCAAAGTGCTCGAAATAGGCAGCTCCACATCTTTAAATAATTATTCAAAACTAATAAGGTTTGTTCCCTCAACCCCACCTCCTTTCTCTGACTTTACATTGTGAAATTAACCAGCACGCTAGTAAATTTTCTCCGTGGCAGGCTAATTAATTTTATTAAACCAACCAGTAATATTTAGAATGCCTTAAAATTCTGCTCGTCAACCACTGTTCTGTTCGTTGGCACTACACCACAGCTTTTGGAGAAGGCAGGGATCAAGGTAAAGGGCAGGTTGCTTTCAAATTGTTTTGCTTCTTCTGCGGTTTAGAATCACATGAACGCCTTTATACAATTTTAATAATTAACGGAGCTAAGATCATGTAACTTCACAGAACACCGAGAAATGTACTTAAAATTCCTTCATAGGCCACCTTCTCTAACTTAGAGGAATTAATCATCAAGCTATTCCGCAGCTACGTGGGGTAGTGAGAAAAGAGGAGGTTAATATGCTAGTGACAAAGTCAGTCGTCTCAGATTCCACCAAGACAAAGGAAAATTACCCTTCTGAAAAGTCCAATCTGAAACCAGGCATTTTTCAATGGACCAGGCATTTTTCAATGTCTGATGCTTTAAAAAAACAAAAAAATGGCCAGGAACAATGTCTAGTCTATGTAAATTCTAATAGCCTCCTATAAAAATCAGCCAACGGGAATACGATAAGAAAAGGTAAAATTCTAAAAATAATTTATCAGAAACGTTCACTCCTAAACAAGGTACTGCACATGAACTGCAAGCTTACATATAATCAAGTCATCTTACCTAATGGGAAAGAGAATGATCTGTTGGCTTCCTTTCCTAGTGAGTAAATATTTGAGTTTCAGAAGTTAATCAGTCTGGGTCCCAGATACACAGTTTGATGGGTTATACCCTCAGCCAATTCCCCTGCAGTATGCCAGGAAGCAGAGGAAAACATGTAGGGAGGATGGGACTGGAGAACAAGCATGGGCTCTGGCGACACTCATTCGTTCATTCACCCATCCCTTGAGTAAATGCTTGTTGAACGTGCACCAAGTTCTAGAAACGGTTCTAAAATGCTGTGATTACACAAATCAAATGTGTGTCTGAGATGTTCAAAGCACTTGATCTCACGAGATTTACACTCCGCCTTAGGGGACAGAAAATAAACAAATAAACAGTTACAGATAATGATATGAAGAAAGCAGAGAAATGAGCAACATGACAGAGGTTAATGGATGAAGGCTTCTTTGAAGAGGTGACATTTAAGCTAAGAGCTGAGCAGGTCAGTTCTGTGAGTGTCTGGGAGAAAAGCCTTCCAGGGAGAGGGAACTGCAGAAGAATATTTCTAATCCAGATGAAGGAACAAGCTCAAGGTTCAGAAAAAGACCAAGATGACAGCTGTGGAGGGAGCAAAACTTACTACGTGATCCTGGCAGGTTCAGCTCTATGAACCTCGGCATATCCATAGAATGGGTCTAATTTCACTTACTGAAAACATTAAATGAGGTTAAGATGTATGCTTGGCCCAGCATATAAAGCATGGTGTGAAATCAGAACGGTACCTACAAACTGACTATTGTGATGTTAATATACACACTGTGGATGTGTTTTAATGCTTGTTAATGCCTTATCTCCTTTAACATCTGGAAAGCATCAGAGAAAGAAGACTGCCATTACTGAGTAGTTTGTGTTATAAATGAAACTTTCTAGAATTCTGGAGTGTTTCAGATAGGAGCAGTTGCAATTTAAACCCTTTTGGTCCTTCAAAACCCTGCTCAACACCCAACTTCAGGAAGCATTAATAGAAAACTTACATGCACAAAAACTCTAATTACAAAAAATAATGTATCGAATGTCTTAAGGGAAATATAAAAAGCTAACCTTCGGGTCCATTTAGAAAGCTAACCTATTTTTACCTCTCATTTCCATCTTTCCCACCAAGCCACGCTTCATCGTACCACCCAAGTTATTTTTTGTTTTAAACACAGGTCTCAAAATTTTACTTGATGTTTAAAATACCTCAGATGTCTTTCCTTTAAATATTGGGCGAAGTCCTAAGGCCCTGGCCTGATTTTTAAGCCCATTCCTTTCCTAGCCCCAAGCTACACTTCCAATCTCATCTTTGGGGGAGGAATGGGGGAGAGGAAGAAGTAGATTGAGAGATTAATTTAGGGCCAACGCCAAGTATTCCACTGAGATTTCTCCTCTTCCACGAGGCTCTTAAAAGTAAAATAAAACTCAGTGGTGGAAGCAGCACTATGAAAAGATTATCTGGTTGAGCCCAAGAGCTTAAGGAAATTAAATGATTTCTATTACTTCTATCTTATAGGGTGGCCAGGGAAGGTTAGGTTATTGGCCAAAGGGTTGAAACGTAAAAAGAGCCTAAGTCCTGTGACTCACAGGAGAGCTGTGTTGCATGTACATAATCCTGCCTCCTCTTCACCATGAATAGTTTAAGTTCGTACATAGGGCCAGAATCCATACCTGAGCATGCTATTCCCCAAATATGGGACAGTGTATTGGAGAATTGATTCTTTTTTTTTTTTAATTTATTTATTTATTTTTGGCTGCATTGGGTCTTCATTGCTGTGCGCGGGCTTTCTCTAGTTGTGGCGAGTGGGGGCTACTTTTCATTGCGGTGGCTTCTCTTGTTGCAGAGCACGGGCTCTAGGCTTCAGTAGTTGCGGTGCATGGGCTTAGTTGCTCTGCAGCACGTGGGATCTTCCCGGACCAGGGATCGAACCCGTGTCCCCTGCATTGGCAGGCGGATTTTTAACCACTGCACCACCAGGGAAGTCCCTAGAGAATTGATTCTTGAAGGCGCTCACCATCAAACTTAGAAGCATCCCATGAACCCATTTAGTTCATTGAAGATCACATTGTAGAAAGAAATCAGTCCTTTATTAAAATATTTTTGGAGTTACCTAGGATCAGGTAGCCCCCTCCACTTTGTACTTGTAAACACACACTCTCTCTGTTTCTCTTTCTCTCACACACACTCACAGACAAACACCATCTTTACTGTAAAAGTTGAATAAGCAAATACCAGCCTACACAATTCTCCAGTGCCCCTCAAAGCCCTGATACAGTAACTCCAAGTACTTCTAGCTGTTGCTTCCATCTCTATGGGGCTCATTACACTGACACTCCTGCAGGTGGTGTCAGAAAGGTGGAGGGCCAAATCCACAAAGGGGAGACCCCCAACGATTCATTGCTTCTGCGGTATCAATCATGGCTGGTGGTTTTTACTTTTATCTCCCTCTCTCCTTAGTTATCCCCACTCCCACTGTCAGTTCAGTTAGAATATTTCACCTACACTTCACAATATGTCGAAAGGAAGTAGACACACGCTGTGAAAAGCTGGTAATTTTATTGGGTTCCTTTACCTTTAAAAATCTGTTACTTGGTCAAGTCTGGTTTCTGGGCTCCTTTTTTGCAGGGAAATTGAGGCAAACGTTTTTATGTGGTCCTCTGGTGCCTGCTCTGTACTCCGAGAACTATATACACAAGGATCATTAGAGTAGGGTTTCGCCCATTAAGATATAATAACCGTCAGCAGGGACAAAAAGCAGATCAGTATCACAAATTCAAACTAACAGGCGCACATAAAAACTATGTGCCTGCTTAAGGCACAGGCACGGGGTCAGGGTCTTACACAATAGGTAAATTCCCTCTCTGGTTTGGAGACAGCTTTTCACAAGACCAGGGTAAGGAGAGGGAACTGGCAAGAATTCTTGCTGCCCTCCAGCCATTTTTAACCCTGAACGCTTTTCTATCCCCAAGTGCACCTCGTCCAAATAAACACAGGACAGCGTTCGCTGTTTTGAAGGACTTCTAATTAGCACAAAACAAGTACTTACTTAAGGGCGCTGTTCTTGTTGACAGAGGAGCACCTCTAGGCAAGAAACCCATGGCAGACTGAAGTAGGAAGGGCACACTCCTTAGTCTTTTAGATTAGCCAAAGTAAACCTGGTCATCCAAGGTGTGGAAGATGTCACCGAAAGATGGCTGCTTTACCAGGCTTTGGCTGATGTTGGTTTTAAAAATAGCCTCTATTAGCCCATTGTTTGCTTCTTTCTGTGTCCTTCAGTAGTTGACATGACACCTCTTCACAAGTGGGTGTATAAAAATCCTTTGCAAACGGACTAGATTTATTCTCAGCCCAAGAAAGCAAAGATGATTATTGGATTATCAATAGAAATCATTTTGTTAGGGCTTCCCTGGTGGTGCAGTGGTTAAGAATCCG